AGGCCCCGCCCCCAGGCGAGGCCCCGCCCCAGCGCCCTGCCTCCATTAGGGACTTTCTCTGGGGCGTCCAGCCCAGGCTGTGCGCGAGATGCCCTGTGGGCCTGCCCTCCACTCCGAAGGAAGATCTTGGAGGAGTCTCGTGAGCTGGCAGCCACTTATTTGGTGCTACCCCTAGTGGTGCCGTAGGTTTTCTCAGCGGCCTGACACCGCCCGCAGCCTGGGTGTGTGCAGGGCCATGGGGTCTGCACACATGGGTGCTATGCCTCAGCCCATTTCAGTGTGCACGGCCAGCCTTGCACTCGAGGACTCTGCGAGGGCCCCGGCCTTGTCACAGTAGATAAGCAATCTGTATCGATGGTATCACACTAATGGAAGCGGCCTGGACTGTCCCAGGTGGGAGCCAGCAGAGCAGTGGGGCCTCCGGCCGCCCTGGACTTCTGTACATACACTAAAACTCGAATTAAACCTCTGCTTCTGGAGGGGCGTCTGTGTGTGCGCGCAGGTGGGACAGAAACCGCCCCCTGTCGGCGGCGGAGGGTGCAGGACGCCCTGGTCACCACTGACCAGCAGGCAGTTCTATGAACAGCTTTATGTGGGACTCGGGGTATCTGTGATACACGAGGTCCAGGCCTGCGGGCGGAGCAGGTGCCGGACCAGGCTTCTCCGGGGAAGGCCTTGAGGTAGAGGCCAGCACTCTTGGGGAGACTTTTCTTCCGGGAGCAGCATTTCTCAGGCCTCTCTGAAAAGCAGAGGCAGGTGTCAGGGGAAGGCCAGGGCGGGGGCACAGCGAGGCTGGCCGCGGGCAAGAGGCAGGGCCCTGCCGGCCGCCCCCTGCCGGCTGCCCCTTCCCCACTCCGCACTCACGACACAGACAGCGGGGTGTCCAGCTGAATGACACGGGGGCCGCGCATCCTCCGCAGCTGGGCGCGCGTCAGCTTTCGCGGCCCGCCGTCCCCGGGCTCCGGGGCTCCTTGGGCCCTCTGGCTGGCCAGCTCCTCCCGGATCTCCCGGAGCATGTCCTCGGCCCGGCGCGGGTGGGGACGGGGGCTCGGGAAGGGCAGGCCCTCATCCTCATCCTCCGAGGACTCCCAGGAGCTCTCCCCTGCGGAGTCGGCGCGTGACGGGCAGGCTGGGAGCCCCTGGCGCGGGGCCCGGGGCAGGGTTTCCACCCCCACATTCGGGCCAGCCGAGCTCCTGTCCTCCTCCTCCTCCTCGGGCCACGTGGGTGGAGCCCCCCTGGAGAGACTGCCCCCTCTTTGGATGCTTTCGGGCAGTTCCGGGGCGCTTCGGCGTTGGGGAGCTTGGGGGTCGGGAGGCTGGGGGCGCAAAGGAACCTCTCGGAGGTCCAGGGTGGAGAAAGTGAGCCGGGGGTCCCTCCGCAGGGCCTTGGGGCGCAGACGGCTGAGCGGGGAAGGGGAGCCCTTGGGCGAGCTTGCCACCAAAGTGCCGTAGCCAGAGTCCGAGGCGTCGTCTGGTACAGAGGGGGTGTCTTCGTCCATGTCCTCCGTCACCACCAGGTGGGGGGTGATGACAGTGAATTCGGGGGCCCTACAGTGGGAAACATTCGGTCAGCCTCAGGCTCAGGGGTCCCTCACCGCCATCCGGAAGTGAACTCCTCTGAACTTACACACCCCCTTACCCTCGACTGGTTCTCATCTCCCTGGCTGGACGGGGTCCCAAAGCGCCCGGCTGCCCCGAGCAATTTTATCCACAGCACCTGGTCCAGGACCTGCGTGGAGCAGATCCAGAGGTGGGGAAGACTCGGCTTATCCTGGGGGGTGCTGCAAGGTGCACCCCGGTGGTGGATTCCTCTGCTATGCACCTGAGTGGCCCTGCACGATCCTCTCCAGATCTGGGTTTGCCACCGCTGGAGCTCTGATGTTACCCAAACCCAGGCTCTGCTTCCCTGGGGAGCCTCCTCTTCTCTGGGATTTCCCTGTCCTCTTGGGCCCCTGCCCACAGCCTCTCATTTGGTGGCACGGGTGGGTCTTACCTCCCCTCTGCACTGCTCTGAGAGCCTTCCAAGGAGGGTGTGGCGGGCCTGGTGCTGGGGCACTCCAGGTCCTGGTCCTGGTAGAGGGCCAGGAGCTCCCTCTTCTGTTGGACGTACTCCTGTGCCTTCAGCTTCTGCAGGGTGGCCTGGGGAGGGAGGGCACTTTCGTCACGAAGAGCTCTCCTTTATGGAACACGGGTGTGCCTAGCACTGTGCTAAGGTCTTGTTTAAGCTTCCCAACGTCCCGTGAGGGGGTCAGAGCTACGCTTACCCCAGTCTACCACTGAGAAGTGAGACTCCAGTTAAGGCCACAGTAAGAAAGCAGGGTGGTGCCAGGTTTGCGGGTGACAACCTCCAGAGCTCTTCCTTGTGCAAAACGCCCCTTCCCCCTGTGCCATTCTCTTTCTCATGCTCCCTGGGCAAACCCTTCAGGACACCCTCCCTGACTGCTGTGCTGGTGGTGTTAGTGCCTTAAGGGAATTCCCTGGGGGAGCACCTGCTTCCTGCCCGTGTCTCCCCTGCAGCTGGGAGGAGCAGGGGGCAGCTGGTGGGTGGGGTAGGCTTTGTCCTAGGCTGAGGATGCAGCTGTCCTGCAGAGGCGTGAGCAGCAAGACTGTCCCAGGGACTGGACCAGGATACACTGCACTGTCTGTCCCTTCCTCAGCATTTACACCTCCTGCCTGTCCCCAGGCCCCTCCTACCATAGTCTGGCCATAGACAACAACTGGCACAGCAGGGACCCTGGCCATCACTCCCACCCCCATCACCCCCTGCAGCGCTCCATTCTGACTGGTGGATGCCCAAGCCATTTTATATTTTCTGGCTTGCGGTAGGAACTCTTGGGCCCCTCGGTTGCCCCAGGGACCCTGAGTAGCAGGGTCAGGAAAGAGGCCAATGGGAGAAATGACGAGCTGGCACATGGAAGCGACAGGTCAGACGTGTCCAAGTCTCCTCTCCCTGGCTCTTGGTCACACAGCCAGAACAGGGGTGGGGCTCGGGACCAGGAAGCCAGCACACCGGGCCCTATGACCACGCTGCCTTCCACTCCGTGTGCCACACCCCATGCCCCACAGAGTGTGGGTGGGCTGCCCAGGGTAGGGTGCAAGGAAGAAGGGATTTCTGGAAGGACAGCTGCAGCACTAAGGTTGAAGAGGGAAGGTGGGGATGCCTTAGGCACTAGGCTGCCAGCACCCTCAGAGCTTCTCGTGCAGCCCTGGGAGGTAAGAGGTGAGACTCCGGAGTGGGGGGAGGGCAGGAAAGGAAGAGGAAGCTGGTGCTCCCAGTTGGAATGCAAGGCCCCCCAAACACAAGGATCAGTGCCCAAGCAGGTTGTTCTCTCTCTGTCCCTGCAGGTGGAGGGCCAGCTCTCCTGCAGTCTTGGGTGGCCCCAGACTCACCTGCCCGCCTCCTGCTGTCCCCACCACTGGACTGACACAGATCTCTAGAAATGCCTGTTGATTTCCTGTGTGACAGAATCTGGCCTATTCCCCCAGCCCTGGCCGCAGGGTCTGCCCCCTTCTAAGGAGGACAATGGCAAATACTTTTGGCGCACCCATGAGGTGCAGGGACTTGTGCCAAGCCACTTGTGCAATTAATTCTCCATCTATGCCACCAGGTAGTTGCCCTCCCTACTGTGGTTCCCTGGATGAAGGCCAGGCTTAGAGGTGAAGAATTCACTGACTACACAGGTTGCGAGAGGGCACAGCAGCTGGCTGGACTCTGGTGACATGGCTCCTACCCTTACCACCTGCCTCAGTCTGCTCTGCTGCGATTCTGGGCTGGCATCTCTGATGGCACTCTATGTTCCTATCTCTGGTTCCTTTTCTTCTCCCCAGCTGCTAAATATGGACCTCTGCCAAGATTCAGTCTCTCTCCCCGTGAGAAGCTCATTTTCTCTGGAAGTGTAAGCCTCTCTGCTATCCCTGTTAGCCATTTCTGTAAGGAGGAGGACAGAAGGTCTGAGTCCCCAGGTGGCCGCTTGAAGGGGGCCAAAAGATACCCCCCAGCTCTTCCACTAACAGAAAGAGGGGCGAGGAAGGATTCCCTGGGGACTCTTGAGACACTGACAGTCAAATGCATTCCAGTGTTTCAGGCTTTGCTTTGCTTTGCTGAGGGAGACACAGGTCAGAAGTGAGACCACAGGGGCCGGGCACATAAATACCAGCAGCCTTTAGGGGGCCTCAGGCGTTCGAAAGGGTCGAGGCTGAGAGATTGTTCTAAGACTGAAAATCAGCCTGGCATGGTGGTGGTTGCCTGTAGTTTCAGCACTCTGAAAGGCTGAGGCAGGAAGATCTCAAGTTTGAGCCCAGCCTGGGCAACTTAGGGACTTACTGAGGCCCTGTCTCAAAAATAAAAAAATAAAAAGGGGATTGAACTCAAGGCCTTCACAATGAGCTACAGACTCATCCACCATTCATTCTTCCTTCCTTCTTTTCTTCCCTTGTCCCTCCCTCTCTCCTTCCCTTCCCTTTCCCCTTCCCCTCCCCTCCCTTCCCTTTCCTTTCCTTCTCTTCCTCCCTCCTTCCTTCCTCCTTTCATAATAGGGATTGAGCTCAGGGCCTTCACACTGAGCTACATTCCCAGCCCTTTATTATTTTATTTTTTTGAGACAGAGTGTCAAAATTCAGTTCAAGCTGGCCTTGAACTCACTATGTGGTCCAGGCTGGCCTTTAATTTGCAGTAATCCTCAAATATACAAATATACACCATCACATCCAGCCCCCAGTCCTATAAAAGTTTTTGTTTTGTTTTGTTTTGTTTTTTAAAAAAGACAGGGTCTTGCTAAGACACTAAATTGCCAAAGTGGGACTTGAACTTTCAATTCTCCTGCCTCAGCCTCCCAGAGTGCTAGAATTGCAGGTATGCAGCACTGTGCCTGGCTTTATTTTTTAACTTTTGAGACAGGGTATTGCTAAGTTGCTAACTGTCCAGGTGGGACCTGAACTTGTGATCCTCCTGTTCTCAGCCTCTCAAGTGCTATGATGACAGGAATGTGCCACGGTGCCCAGCTTGAGCACCGGGTTTTTCGCATTCAGTATGGGCTTTTAACCATACTTCCCTATGTCTCACCTATTTCTTCCTTTATCTTTAGCTCATTTCTTCAGACAAACACTGTTTCCACCACACCCCTGCCTTGCTGGAGAACTCAGGGTGCCTCTCTAGTCCCCCACTCAACTCAGCAGCGCCTTCACCTCCTCCTGTCCTGCAGTTCTGGGTTGGCTGGTGGTTGACCGGCCACCATTTGCTCAGGAAAGCCCCGTGCCCAGATAGAGAGAAAGCCAGACACTGCTGAGCAGTAAACCCAGCCCCGCGCTCCTCCATCCCACAGGGTCCTCCTTATTCTTGGAGCCAGATCAGTGGTACAAAGCTCTCCAGCAAAGTCCCAGCACCACAAACAAACAAACAAACCCAACTGGAACCTCCTCCCTTCTTTGTCCATCCTCCTGCAGGGGGTTGACAGCAGCACCCAGGACCATGTGTCGGAGGCTTGACCCCAGGACCCATGAAATGTGACCCCTAGGAAGAAGGGGCTCCGCAGCTGTGCCCACCCCGCATGAAGGAGCTGGGAGGAAGCCTGCATGGCCTTTGGGTGGATTCCAAGTCTAACGGCGGTGTCTCAGGGAGGGAAATTCATCACAGGCACACGGAGAGAGCTGCAGCGGGCTGTCCCAGGCCACGAGACACTGCAGCCACTTCCTAGGGAAGCTGGAAGGAGCAGGGCGGGAAGCTCAGCTCTTCTAACACTGTGATCCTGAACTTCTGGCCTCCACACCCGTGAGAGAATTGGCTCCTCCTTGTTTTAACGTTTTTTTGGTGGAGCCTGGAGCACACTAGCAAGGGCTGTGTCACTGAGCCAAGCTCCCGCTACTTTAAGCCACTGCATTGGTGGAAACCAACACAGCTTTCTGGAGCCCTCACTTCCCTGAACTGCTTTTATCTCATACATCTGCCCATGTCACTGCCTGCTGCACACCTGTGCGGGCTCCGTGTTGTCTGTAGGACAAAGTCCGGCATCCCAGCGCAGTGTTGAGTGAGGGCCTGACGCTCCCATGGCCCCTGCCTCCCTGCCTCTCTCCCGTGGCACCCGCCCTTGGACTTTGGGCCCTGGCAGTACCAGGTCAGGGTTTTCTCAGCCTGCATCTCTGTCCTGGTCTTGGCCTTGCTTCTCCATCCCGACGACCCTGCCTGCCCCTTCTTTCCTGACATGGTTCTGCTGTGCACACTGGTCACTCTGACTGACTGCAGCTTGGGCCCCTGAGAAGGACTGCTGCTACTATCTCCTGAGTCCCTCACACCTAATCCCGTGCCTGTACCCAACATGACCTGGCAGGGTTGTTTCCAGGTATCAAAGCCATCAGGCCTCAGCCGGCTCAGGGGCTGGTGTAGCTCTTAGGGACGGTCCAGGCCCTGTCCCCTCCTGAGGGGCACTGAGGGCAGATGGCCCAGTCTGAACTTGCTTCTGGCCCAGACTCTCCCTCCTCCTCTCCTGTGGTATTCTGAGCCCAGGGCCCCTGCCCACCCCTCCCCACTCCCGGCTTTTACAGACCTGGGCTTCCTGTGTCTTCTTCAGCCACTGTGCACGATCTGTGGGACTGCGACAGTATGCAACAAACGCACTGGCAACACACTGGAATTCGGTGAGGCTGATGACCAGGAAGCTGTCTGGGTGGAGGACAAGGTTGGCTTTAATGGTCAGGACTCGTTGGACCCCCGTCCCTGGCTTCCTAGCCGGGGAGACCTACTGGGGTCGCGCAGTTGCTGGCACACAAGCTTCTCCAGCATGACAGGGGGCCGGATGATCTTGGCTTTGTCTGCCTTGCGTGGGGGCTTGGTCACCAGGAGCACGTCGGAGAAGAGGAACAGGTACACGTCCAGCTGTGGATGGGCCAGAGCGGAAAGAGGTGGGTCAGCTGGAGCTGGGGGCACTGGGCTCGCAGGTGGGCACGCAGAGGGACTCAGGCAGGGCTGGGAGCGCTGGCCCAAGGGAAGGGAGGCTGTTTGGTCTCAGTTCTGGATTTACAGGTAGGGAAAGGGGTGGGTTCAAGGTCACACAAAAATCAGAACTGAGCCTGAACCATGTCCTCTTCCAACACAACACACACACACACACACCCACACGCACGTGCACACGCACACGCACATTTCCTGCTGACTGCCCCCCCCCCCCCACGCCCCCGCCCCCCTCCCCCC